TGGTTCACAGATGGATCAAAAACACCTTCCGGTTCTGGTGCAGGTGTTTTCAGTCGCAGACCCAGGACAGAGTTATCTACCTGCCTAGGAACTTATGCGACTGTATTTCAAGCGGAAATTTACGCTATTGGATTTTGTGCGGAGAGATTGGATAAATCCAACCTCACTCACAAGTCAATAAAAATATTCTCGGACAGTCAAGCGGCATTGGAAGCTCGTGGCTCCTACCGAGCAACGTCTAAATTGGTAGCAAACCGCCAAAAAAGACTCTCCTCGACAGGAAGACTAAACAGATTGTCTCTGGTCTGGATTCCTGGCCATATTGGCCTGGAAGGCAATGAAGCTGCTGACTCTCTTGCAATGGAGGGTGCTGCAAGCGGCTTCATTGGACCAGAACCGGTCATTGACATCGCCAAACAAACACTGAACACCTGGATGGCAAGAAGAGTTATGGACTTCTGGCAGAATCTTCCAGGACTGACTCACTCCAAAGCGTTTATTCACCCTCCGAAGCTTGATTCCAAACAGTTGTTGGACTACAGTAGGGACGAACTACGATGTCTAACAGGCCTTCTTACTGTCACTGTCATTTGAATCATCACATGCAGAGACTTGGACTGTCGGAAGACAGTGTGTGTCGCCTCTGTCTGGAAAATTATGAAACTGCAGAGCATATACTTTGTGCCTGCCCCGCTGGGGACCAAATCAGGTTCTTTGAGTTCGGCAGATCCGTACTTTCACCATCTGACCTGAAAGACCACTCACCATACAAACTAATCGGCTTCGTTAAGAAACTGGGCTTCTTTGACCTACCTACCCTTAAACAGCGGATCAAGAGTAGTTTCTCAGTTCCCCTGCTCTACAGCAGAATATCTGCACCAAATTCTCGATCAGCAGAAGCAGACTCTGCATCGGAAGAAAAACGAACTCCCCCTGAGCAGAGCAGCAACCACACTCAAACCATGATTCTCCCAAACCTCACAAATGCTTTCATAGGAAGGTTTCAGCGGTCCTTTAGACCGGAGCCTTGCACCGTTATTATTCAACAACCTCAATATCAAACACAAAACTAGAATCTCTCCAGTTCGACATTATGGCTGGAGAATATTCGAAAAGGTCCAGGTACGATTCCAGAACAGCGCATACCGGATTGGGTGGCTACAGATTGCCTGAGAGGATCAGAAGAGCGTCTTCTAGCTGGTGAGTGTAGTTAGTACACTGCAGCCATAAGAAGGTGTCTCCCCGAAATGTGTAATAGAAGATCTACTACCCAAGGCAAGAAGTTGTGTTGTTTACTTTCCTGACAAATGTAATCGCAGACTTATCACCGATGAGGTTTTCATTAGACTGAGAAAAATGTACCATGATCAAACTTGGGGTCTATTTTTCTACCTATGATATCCAAGAAAATTCAGACCCTGATAGCAGGGCCGCTCTACGCCTGCTGCAGACCTGATCAAGTAGTATCTTACTATAATCAGGTGACCTGACAAAATGAAATAATTGGCTTCGTTGAAAATCTGGATGCATTTGATCTAGTTCGAATAAGTGTGAGCCATATTAAGTGGGGTGGAGCCCCACCCATTTTGGATCTACGTACCTATCTACCATTGAAGGATTTTATGTGGCTCTTCAATAGGGAGGTTCAAGTCAAATGGGTAATTTCTCCCACCTTCACAAATATATCAGCTTCCTCATTTCCTCCAATTTACTTTTAACCTGGCCTCACTCTACTGAGAAGCGGGACTTTCTGATGCCTGAGGCGTTGTCTATTTTTGTAATCGACAGCTCCAATAACTACTGAAATCCGATTTCTCTTCTGAATGAACTATTGAATGGAAGATAGCTACAAATTATTGTAGATAGTTACATATTAACTTTTTCAATACATTTGTTTTTTTTACGATATAGTCATCAGACTTATTTGAGTATAATCCACCCTGCCGCAATTTTATAAAACAAATTCAGCCTTTATGAAATGTGCTGGTGGTTGTGTCAATAAATTTAAGCGGTTTAATCAACGAACCACTTCCAAAACAAGCAGTTTTCCCAAACACCTCAACTGGAGATGAGAAGCTAACTTGGTTGACGAAACGCCTGCGAGAAGAGTATTGCATTTCTGGCGATTGGAAAAAGGGCTTGTTTTAAATCTTTTCTACGCCAGAGGTTACAGTTTTGAATTTCATTAATGAACTCACTCAATACGGAAAATTGCTTGGTACTTTTTAGAATTTGCCTAGTCGATTCAAAATTTTTCATGGAAAAACTGATTTCATGCAGATCATTTTTCATATCATTTCAGTATCAGTCTATTAACTTCCATATCTTTGGTCTAGCATCCACTGAAAATTTTATTATTCAAATCTGTTTTGCTCTATTATGACACAAATACACTTATCTTGGAACTGTATCAACAGTCTGAAGCCGACTTCATGAGTTTATTTTGGTAATGGACACTTTAGATACTCGTAACTATCTACTTGCAGACAACACAATAAAAAGATCCGACCTCAACCTTCAGAGTGATTCACTACTTAAGAAAATCAACCCAAATGCAACCCTTTTTTATAACGCGAGCCGTGTTTTTGAGGCCACTTGAATTTATTTTCTTGTGCAACAGTTTATTTTAATAATTTAGGTATAACTCCTTAGATATTTGTAACCAAGATTTCAAACATTGAAATGAGTTAAGTGAGCTACTCTAAGAACAGAGACATATGCCATCATGGACGTTTTTGTAGACCTATAAAAAGAGAATTATTTTAGAATTACGTAGCATTTTTCGGGAAAGCTTCCCGGGTAGCACCACTACTCAACTTCCAATGGATACCATCATCTTTTCTCAACCAATTAACCCAAAATATTAATAATTCAAACACATAAACCTTCTTTTTGAATCACTTTGCCTTTTGGCAAAAACCGTTTGAAAATCAGTTAAGTAGTTCCAATGAATTGCTACAGACACACAGACGCGACAGTGATATCAGTGATGTAGTGATCAAATAAAATTATAAAATGGAAGGTAAGACATAGGATACTAAAAGCTAGACTGGCCGTGACAGTAAAGTAGAGAGGCTGATTTAACTTAATATTTGGTTCTACTTAATGATGAAACGGACTGGTAACTTGATATTTGGTTCTATTAAATTATTAAAGAGACTGGCCAAAGCTAGATTAGCCGTGATAGGAAAGTAGAGGGGCTGATTTAACTTAATATTTGGTTCTATTAAATGATGAAAGGAACTGGCCAAAGCTAGATCAGCCGTGATTGTAGAGAGGCTGATTTATCTTAATATTTGGTTCTACTAAATTATGAAAGGGATTGGCCATAGCTAGATTAGTCGTGATAGTTAAGTAGAGAGGCTGATTTAACTTAGTATTTGGTTCTACTAAATGATGAAACAGACTGGCAACTTAATATTTGGTTCTAATAAATAATGAATGAGACTGGCTAAAGTTAGATTAGTCGTGATGGTAAAGTAGAGAGGCTGATTTAACTTAATATTTGGTTCTACTAAATGATGAAACAAACTGGCACCTTAATATTTTCTAGATTAGCCGTCATAGTGAAGTAGAAAGACTGATTTAACTTAATATTTGGTTCTACTAAATAATGCATGGGACTGGCCAAAGCTAGATTAGCCGTAATAGTAAAGTAAAGAGTCTGATTTACCTAACTTGATATTTGGTTCTACTAAATGATGAAACGGACTGGCAACTTAATATCTGGTTCTATTAAATGGTGAAAGGGACTGGCCAAAGCTAGATTAGACGTGATGGTAAAGTAGAGAGAATAATTTAACTGAATATTTGGTTCTACTAAATGATGAAAGAGACTGGTCAAAGCTAGATTAGTCGTGATAGTAAAGTAGAGAGGCTGATTCTACTTACTATTTGGTTCTATTAAATGATGAAAGAGACTGGCCGAAACTAGATTAGCCGTGATAGTGAAGTAGAGAGGCTAATTTAACTCAATATTTGGTTCTAATGAATGTTGGAAGGGTCTGGCCAAGGCTAGATTAGTCGTGATAGTAAAGTAGAGAGGCTGATTCTACTTACTATTTGGTTCTATTAAATGATGAAAGAGACTGGCCAAAGCTAGATTAGCCGTGATAGTGAAGTAGAGAGGCTAATTTAACTTAATATTTAGTTCTACTAAATGTTGGAAGGGGCTGGCCAAAGCTAGATTAGCCGTGATAGTAAAGTAGAGAGGCTGATTCAACTTTAGATTTTGTTCTACTAAATAATGAATGGGACTGGCCAAAGCTAAATTAGCCGTGATAGTAAAGTAGAGAGGCTAAATTAATTTAATATTTGGTTTTACTGAATTTTGAAAGGGATTGGCCAAATATGCTGGACACTTACATACTTTATATCAAGTGCTGATCTGTTAAGCAAAATTTGGTTTTCACCATAAATAATGGTCCATTGTGATCGTATTCCAAATGCTCCTTCAAATCCAGAATTTTTTAATTTTCCGTTCCACTCAAAACTAAAGTACAACATGAAAAAACATTTGTAAAACTAACGAATCAACAAAATTAACGTTAAAAACGAAATAATGTTTTTATGCCGGTATTTCAGAGGAGAACTGAATAATGCTCTCCCAATCGCAAGGCGAAATGCATGTATAAAAAATGCAGATGCAAATCCACAGTATTGATTACCGGAAATCACAGCACATGCGTTTTATGAAATTTGCGCGCGTCAAAAACTGTAAACAATGGGCCATTATGGCGCCAATCGATGATATTTCTCCAAAATCAACCCCTCTTCTAGATAATAAACAGAATTAGAGATTGTAGAATAAGTAATTGATAACGAAAGCAATGAATGAACCAACGAATAAAAAAGTTGAACCAAGTTCAGAAATTTTCGTTTATTTCTAATCAATTTCAATTCTGTTACCCAAAAATGTATGTAATACTTCCTCTAAATAACAAAATTCAAGATATTTCTTTCAAAATAAAACAAAGAAATCAACTAATGTAAGAACTAACCTCAAAGATGGCGTTTCAGGATCGTTTCAAATTCGCTTCTTGAAAATTGCTCGATTATTAGAGAATTCAACGGTCCGCTGTTATACCTATGCGCGGCACCACTACATTTCACAGTGTTTCATTACCAACTGTTCGTTCTCAGTTCCCTACTCTGAGTTGAGAGCAAGCTGGTTCGAAAGCCATTAACATAAATTATTAGGAGACAGTGAATATTGGGTCATAAACCTTCCGGGGCTTTGAAATCTAGGGTCTTTTCGACGGGTCTCTGTGCTATTTTCTGCTGAAATATTTGGGAATGTTATACAAAAAACGATTATTTTACCTGGAGAATCGGTTTGTGAAAATTTCGAGTTAGTTTTGGACTAATATTCAGTAGCGTTGCATTCAGATATTTATTTCTTCGGTAAATCGAATATCGAATTTTGGAGTATGGACAATGTCAAACTTGGATTGAAGATTGAAAGATGTTATCGTAAAACTTGAAATGAAAACTAATTAAAATAAACCATAGTTGGAGAACAAAAACTGGAATTCACTCAATAGTAACACTTTCTATTATAAAGTTTGCATATACATTTCAAACCAGAAATATGAAAAAGCTATGAATGGCTTAAGGAAACCAAATACTTCAGTTTAATTTTTTAAAGCTCTGAAGAAAGCTCTGAAAATTGTAATCAATTGTAAAATTTCGAATTTTTTGTATTTCAGGGGAGTGAAAAGCAATAATGCAAGAAATAATTGTATAAGTTTGAAAATGTCCGTATAGGACAAAACTGCAATAACGTTAGTTACAAATAAAAGTGGTAAAAACATAGAAAGTATAATTTCTCTTTTCTTCGTTATGATTTCCTACCACATAGTATCAACTACATCCATCAATTTATTGAAACATATTGATGAAATATCAAGCAGTAAATTACAAAATACAACATTGAGTAAACTAAAATTAAACTGCAGAGCAAATATATTTTCAGGTCAATTTAGATTAATTTGATTTACTGAATCTAGAAATTTTTCAAAAATATATCGTCATTATCCTCTCCAATTTTTTTTCTGTTGACAAATTCACATTGTTTTTGTATGTTCACGTTGCTAATTTGAGATTCAGTGAATTCAATGGTCAATGATTCTTTCAGAAAATCACATTGTGTTAGATTATCTCAAATAGTTTACTAAAAGTGGTAATCCAATCTTCACAAACTTTATTTTCGAAAATATTACGACATAATTTGGAAGGGTTTTATTTTTAGGAGTAACTAACTTTTGGGAAAGAAAGTTTTTGGCTTTCTACTACTCCATCTGATACAGAAAAATGTGGGAATCTTCCAAAGAAATGAAGGAAGTAATCAATTTTAAAAAAAGTAACAGTATAGATCATGCAAAGAAGTAACTTTCAGGCAAAAATCTGGAAGAAAAGCCTACCTAAAACAGCTACTTTCATATAAACATTGAATTACACGAAAGAAACATTCTTTCGAAATAGAATATACTTTTTTTCAGTTTGTGTCTGAAAGTTACTTCTTTGCATGATCTACACATCCATGTATAGAGTTACTTATTTTCAAATTGGTTACTTTCTTCCTTTCTTTGGAAGATTCCCTCATCCCTTTTATGGTATCAAGATGGAGTAGTAGAAAGCCAAAAACTTTCTTTCCCATAGAGTATACTCTTTCCTACTCAGTTTATATTCCAAACATTCCTTATGAAATGAAATCAGATATCATTCATAGGGTTTCTACACAATATGCTAAATGAAAATAAAAATTTTACTTACATGTCTGCTCCCTGGTAGACATCGATGTTTCGCCGTAAGACATTTGCTTTAGGGCTCTTCAGTACCAATTTAGATAATGTTAAAAGAAAAACACACATTTCGGTCATAAATTTCGACTTCTATGTCACGGAATAAGTTTGATCTAGTTATGTCTTCGATGACATTGTAATGACGTTCATTCACCTATTTGATTAAATACCAACCAAAAGAAATCTTGTTCAATTTGAAAGGGTTTCATTTTTAGGAGTGACCAATTTTTGGGAAAGACAGTTTTTAGATTTTTACTACTCCATCTTGATACAGAAAAAAAATGTGGGAATCATTTGGATTTGGAGATATGGATAATATGTCTACCAAGACTAAGAATGATATCGGTTTTTAAGAAAACAAGTTCAGTGATGGTGATCTATTCAAAATACAGTTGAACATTCAGTGATCTGTTTGAATTTTTGAGTTTAATTATTTCCATTGCTTCAAACTATTACTTTCTCTGTATGAAATTTCAAAATCTCCGTTAAATGATGATTTTAACAAGTTGGGTTTGTTTTCTTATTCATATAGCTCATATAATGTTCCTGGATACGATTCCTAAATTTTCTGCCGGTTTGACCACTGTATACCTTAGGACAAGTTGCACAATTTGATTTCTTGAATTTTGCTGGTTTGTCTTTATTATTTTTAACTAACTTCTCCAATGTATTATCTGTTTTATATGCAATTTCAACACCTAGTTTAATAAAAAAATGAAGCCACTTTTCCTGCCGCGGCTATTTTCGCATTTTTCTGAAAGTCTATGGTGGAAATTTCATGGCTCCATATCTTCGAAAAGACATATTTTTGAAAGAGAAGCAGCAATAGAGCTCTTCGAGGATTCATGGAAGATGAAAACAGCAAAGTGACTCTTTGATTTTGTGATGTTTTGTGATTTGATATTATTGAATATTAATTTCTTGTTACAATACAGTATAATTTTGAGTAATTTTTGATGTTCACAAAAAATAATAACTGCACCAAAAATTTCTAAAATTATTTTACTTTTCAAAAAAATTTACCGTGGGTAACACCATAGTTGAGTAATTTGTAATATTGCAGGCTTTTAAAATAAATCGTCATATCATTCGTCTTAGCAAATTTTGTTTTCGTAGTCCCCATTTAAAAAAAAATAGGTAAAAAAATAAAACTCCACTTAGACGATCATGACTTTAAATCTAGATGTATTTTTTAATAGCTGAACAACGTTTCTGAATTACATCTCCGGATATTTTTCAAAATAGAAGTTCTTTACTCTTTTGTCTCAAAATAAAATATTTGAAGGCTCCTCGTATATTACGTGTGTTTTACTGTATTTTGTAAGTGCATGTTTAGTTTTAGGGGACAATATTACTGGAGTTTTTTCCCAACACCAAATCGTTATTTTTACATCTCGACACGTGTTTCGATCACCAAGTGATCATCTTCAAGAGGAAGATAAAACTAGAAACTACTCAAAACTAAAGCTATTTATGTTATTCAGGTACATCATCCAGGTAGGTAATCAGTAATACCACCCATACAAGTGTACCACCCTAAATTAATTTTACAATTGACCTTTCTATTATTTTACAATATGTCCTTATGTATGTTTAGATGTTACAGCTATATTTAGAACAATTTTCAGCTATATAAAATTAGTTTCACAATATTGCCTATCTAAATATATTTATAATGTGTCTTTTTGTAGTAACCAATAAACCCAACAATATTATTTCAACAAGCTATATAGTATGCTATTTGGTATTGGTCCGTTATCGTTATTCATAATATTATTATGTTTACTTATTTCTACACTCTCATAGGCATCTAGTTGTCTGTTGTTGTTAACTTGTCTACCTAATCTTAAAGAACTGAAGTTTATGGAATGGTTTTGTTGCAAAATATGATGGGCGACTGCTGATTTTTCAGGTCTTCCATATTTTAAGTGTGTTATGTGTTCCTTATATCTCACTTTAATAGATCTTTTTGTCTGTCCATAATATTTTGCATCGCAGTCCTTACATTCGATTTCATAAATTCCAGACTTTTCCAAATTCTCGACTTTGTCTTTTGGACTTCCCAAAAGGCTCTGCAGTGTATGACTTGTTTTAAAAACCACCTTCATACCTTGTTCCTTGAAAATCTTTCCAAAGTTCTTCGTATATTGGTGGTATGGAACGGAGATTGATTTAGGGGACACACAAACTTTTATCAAGAATAACTTTTTATCGAAAATCGCTTAATAAATAAGTTTTCCATATGGTGCATACTTTGGGGATGACACTGCATATTAACAATTTTGTTGAAAACACTAAATCCCATCACGATTTTTCACCATAACGGAGATAGTTTTCGCCGCACAAATTTGGGGACAACAAGTAAGGTTAAATTCTTCGAACTTGAGTTCCTTCGGCCTGAAATTTATTTATGACAGCAGAATACTTAAAGTTGTAGCTTCATATGCAGTTAAACTTTAGTTTATAAACAACCCTAATTTCTTCGCTATATTTGATCACCCCTTCATACGACTCTTCAGTTTCGAACGCTTTGATGTACAAACTATCCTCCCCTAACAAACAATTCAGTGAACGGTTTTACGATGACGTCACTACATGATCTTTCAAGCAGCTGTCAAAACTGATCCCGGTCCAGATCCTGACCTGTCAAGGGATCAAATTTAACGCCGCCTTTTTTATAATGGCCGTATTACTATTATGGGTTAGAGTTCCAGAAAGTTCTGCTTGTTCGGTAGAGACAATACAAGTTTGCAAGCGATATACACTTGATTGCAATATTAAGGGAATTTACATATTTTTATGTTGAAAAAACGACGTTGTCATATAAAAAACGTGTTCAGATTTACATAAGAAGGACCGTTGAAATTGTTCAGATCATTTTGATAGAAAATAGAAATATAAAGTGCTGGGAATGAATTTTTTCAAATTTCTATATTCATTTACTTGGCGATATGATGTTAGAACAAAAAATACACTCATATATATCTGTACTCATCTGTACTAATCTGTAGTCATATATACAAAACCCAACAAAACAGAAAAGAAAACAAAAAAATGCATTAATGAGATACCTGGTTCTTGTGGTACAAGTTATATTGGTGAAACTTCAAGACCATTGAAAATACGTGAGATTGAACATCGATCTCACATTAGAAATAGACAATTTACTTGATCAAGATTGGTGACCATCGAATTGAATGGAACAAGACGAGAATGATTGCTAATGAACCTCACTCAAAGAAAAGTAAACTAAAAGTATCAGCGTATATTCTCAT